TAACATCATCCCCACCAACATTTAAAACCTTGTATTCGTCTCTCGTTTGCGATTTTTTTGTTTTTCCTTTATTTTTTCTGTGATTAGATAACCGAGAGCTACGGAGATTGAAAGAGAAGCGAAGCGAGGCGCTTCAATTTGGCTGCGGAATCGTCCTTCTTCCACCATAGACGACGCAATTTCTCCTTCTGCTTCGGTAACTGTAACACTTTCAACTTTGGCGCCATTTTCTTCCTATTTTTCTCTAATTGAAAGCTACAATCTCTCGAAATTGTTCCACATTACTGCTATATTGTAGCTCAGCTCTTCACTCTTCATCGTTTTTGTTTCTGGAATCTAGAACTTTGGCGACTGTAAGGCATAGCGCTTGAATCTAATAATGGTTTGAATTGGCAGAACGTTATTCCTCCTTGTTGTGGAGTGACATCAATTGTTCTGTCGGCATCGATTCCACGTTTGGTTTTTTTTTTCAAGGTCGCGAAACAGCTAGAAAACCATTGGCTTGATGCTCCAGAAGCTACCAGCGGTTTCTACTTGTGTTTGGGATCCATCTCGAATGGGTAGAAACTAGTTATCTTTTCCCTGTGAGATTGAAGTTTTGTTCGTATTTTAGGAATAGAGTCCTTCATCGCTCCATTGTTATTCGTCAAATAAGTCTGAGAGGCGTGTTGTTAGTGAACAATGATAGGAGCTTATGTTTGACAGATTTCACTGCATGATTGTAGGTCTCTTCATTGGTAATTTGGAGTTTACGACCCCGCAGCTGTCTGCACTAAGATCACTTACTCCTCGAGTAAAGGTTTAGATGCTTAACCAAAGAACCTCTTCAGTATTCTGTCTTTTATCTCTTGTTATTTTTAGTGATTCTGTCGATGAAATTACAAGCCTAGCTACGAATTTGGACCCTTTGGCAAGCGATGCTTATATTACCAGATTATGATATTGATTTGCGATCTTTCTTTGAAATCCTAAAGTGCCCTTTTTGGTCAATATTTTTTAAACATGAATACTCTCAATTTTAGTTAGTAATGTTTCTGTTGGTTCTTCCATGTATGACACTGTACTTGTCAATCACTCACTGCTCATTGAGTTCTTGAAAGCTCTTACTCTTTCTTTAATACTCTGTATCTCTTGAATCTGAGGTTATCCTCCTTTTATGCGAGTCTTGATTTCACTTTGCACTTGAAGATAACATTTGTTGATTTGTGGTGGTTGTCCTAACTCCTGTGACTTGTGAGAGACTCTTCCAGACAAATAAGATCTTGCAATATTCTTTCTATTGCAGTTTGCGCATAAATTGTTGTCCGAAAAAGTGCCAACATCGCTAAGGACTTTATCCTATACCAGTCAGGAATATGGAAAAGATCCTATTTCGAGGAAACGAGAAGTGTATCGCCAGAATGTGGATCTTCCAACCGTATTGCCTAAAAACAAAAAGAAACCCTATCCTATTCCTCTAAAGAAAATCAAGCAGGCTGCTAAAGCTGACAAAGAGCTTGCACAAAAGGGTATAGAGAAACCGCTTGAACCTGGGAAAAATGGGTTACTTGTCCCAGATTTGATACCTGTTGCCCATCAAGTACTGGATGCCTGGAAAATTTTGATTAAGGGCCTTTCACAACTTTTACATGTTATTCCAGTATATGCTTGCAGGTTGATCTTTTCTGGTCTAGAAATTTCATTATAACATGTTTTTGGAGGGGTTTTTTAGCTGTGTCCTTTTAGTCTTTCATTTTATTATGCCATAATATCAATTTTGGATTCTGTGCAGGGAATGTTCAGAAGTTCATGTAGCCCAGTCAGGCCACCGTATTCAAGACTGTCTTGGTTCTACCAGTGCAATCCGTCGAAGCTTCCACTTATGGGTCACAGGTTCTATCAATGATGTCTTAGTCCCCATTGAGTCATACCATCTCTATGATCCTTTCGGTCGGCGCATTATGCATGAAACACGATTTGAATATGATAGAATTCCAGCTGTTGTAGAGCTCTGCATCCAGGCTGGTGTGGATATACCAGAGTACCCTTCACGTAGAAGAACTAAACCCATCCGGATGATTGGAAAGAAGGTGATTGATCGAGGTGGAAATATCGAGGAGCCTAAGCCCTGGAAATCTGTTGATTCCTATCCCCTTCTTGATTTCGATACACAAGGAGCTTCTCAACGATTTGCACCTCCTCTACCATTAGATGTCCCTAGAATTGCTCAAGAAACAATCGAGGCATATGAAACTGTTAGATCTGGTGTAAGGATGTTGATGAGGAAGTATACAGTGAAGGCATGTGGGTACTGCTCAGAGATTCATGTGGGACCATGGGGCCATAATGCTAAGCTATGTGGAGAATTTAAGCACCAATGGAGGGATGGAAAGCATGGTTGGCAGGATGCAACTTTAGACGAAGTATTGCCTCCAAATTATGTTTGGCATGTTCGTGATCCAAAAGGCCCGCCATTGATGGGTACGTTAAAGAGGTTTTATGGTAAAGCTCCTGCTGTGGTTGAAGTGTGCATGCAGGCAGGTGCACAGATTCCCAAGAAATACTTGCCCATGATGAGGCTTGACATAGTCCTTCCTGACAGTGAGGAGGCACGGTCTGTTGCATAATTGTGTTGGCCAAAGACATGAAGGCTTCATTCATACAGGTCTATCTAAGGCCTCTACATTACATCTTCAATTTTCTTAAGTAAGAAAGGAAGAGAAAATCTTAAAAACCCTGAAAGCAAATACAGCCTAGAATGCTACATTGAGAGCATTTAGATAAGTAAGGATATTAGATGTATATTAAAGTTTTACTTCATTCCTAGTTATAGTGTTTTCCTCGAGTCCATACCAATTAGGTTTTCTAAACCTTGAAATATTTGAATACTTGATAGATGCTACATTGACATGGCGAATGAGTTTGGCATTCAATGATTAGCAGACATCGAGATCTTTGAAAGGGGGTGGTCATTCATGTGTCCAATAGGCTTCTTTTTACTATAGAATTGATCTGATTTTTAACTTTTTCTCGTAATACAAATTTCTTTTCTGTCCAAGACTCAAGAAACCAACTCGAGCATATCAGCATAGCTTAATTGGTCACGGCAAGTAAAACCTTATATAGGATTAGTGGTTCAAGTCTCCCCTCCTTGAAAGGTTGACATCACTAGAGGACCCTTCTGACATTGGTTCATCTAAAACATAAAAGAATATGAAAAATCTCTAAAACCCCTCTGCCTCTATTTACTCAACTGTTAGTTATATCTCATAATATATCAAGTATACACCTATAATCAAACATGCCCTCTGTGTTTCTTATCTGTGCAGTCAAAGTTTCTAATATATAGCAAATTTCAGGCCTTCGAAATTCCGATGGACCTTCAGATACAAACGAGTGCACTCGATTACCCATTTCAATCCAACTGCAGCCAGGTTGCTTCTCAGCCTTATTTTCTTTCATTAAAACCCTGACTCTCTCAACCATATCCCATCTCCTTGCCTCAGCATGCAGGTTTGACAATAGTACATAATTTGAGGCATTTTCTGGTTCAAGTTCCAAAAGCCTCTCAGCTGAATACTTGGCTAGCTCTAAATTCTGGTGTCTTCTGCAAGCCCATAGCAATGCACCCCATATTTTTGCACTTGACACAGTTTTCATACCCTCTACTATTTCCATGGCTTCTCCTAACCTGCCCACCCGACCAAGCAAATCAACTACACAAGCATAATGCTCTGATGAAGGTTTTATTAAGTATGTCTCAGTCATGCACTTGAAAATTTTCAAACCCTGATCCACAAAACCTCCATGGTTACACGCAGATAACAAGCCAGTGAAGGTAACTTCGTCTGGAATGACTTCTCTTATCGACATCTCTTCGAAAAGTTCAACAGCTTCTTTTCCATACCCATTTAGTGCATACCCAGCTATCAAAGAATTCCATGAGACCACATCTTTATTGTTGATCTCAGCAAAGACACTTTCAGCATCTAGGACTCTCCCACTTTTTGTATACATGGTTATGATCGCGTTTTTAACAAATAAATTGTGGCCAAAACCTGTCTTGATAGTGAGATGGTGAAGTTGCATTCCAACTTTCAAAGCAGCAAGATTGGCAGATGCTCGTAAGCAACACACGAAAGTTGATTGATCAGGTTTCTCCTCTCCTTGCCCTTTCAACAATACGAAATGCTTCAGTGCCTCGTAGTAGAACTCATTTTGCACATATCCTGTAATCAGAGAATTCCAAGATACGATATTCCTCACTCGCATCTCATTAAATATCCCGAGCGCTTTATCCATCTGTCTTGCTTGAGCATAACCAGCAATCATGGTATTCCATGAAACCATATCTTTGCCTACCATTTCTCGAAACAAACAGAGAGCTTCATCCATTCTTCCACAATGAGTATAGCCTGTAATCATGGTATTCCAACAAACACTATCACGTATGGAGATTTGATTAAAAATCTCATTGGCTTCATCCATTCTGCTACTTTGCACATATCCATTGATCATTGCTGTTTGAGCTGCAACATTCTTGTAAGGCATCATATCTAGAATTTCCCTTGCCTGAGAAAGCTTACCGACTCGAACATACCCATTGATCATGGTAGTCCATGATACAGAGTCCCTTTCTGACATTTCCATAAATAGCTTAAAAGCGTCGTCAATTTGGTTGTTTCGTACATAAGCTCCAATCATAGCATTCCAAGAAACTAAATTCTTACTCGGCATCTCATCGAAGAGATTCCGAGCCTCTTTGGTCCAACCATAATGCGCAAGACCAGAAAACATTGTCACGTAGGACACCGCATTCGGAGTCGGAATTTTCCTGAAAATCATCCAGGCAGAGTCCAGATCACCAACCTCAACATACCCGTCCACCATCAAATTCCATGAAACCACATTCCTTTCTCCCATGGCTTCGAAGAACTGCAGCCCTGACTGAATTTCACCGTTCTTGGTGTAGCCTGCTAGCATAGAATTCCACGAAACTATATTCTTGACCAACATTCCATCAAACAGTTTCTTCGCCTCGTCGAACCGTCTCTTCTTAGCATAACCTGCAATAAGTGCATTACAACAAACAGTATCTTGCTTATCAGGAAGCAAATCGAAAAGCTCCCTCGCCTTTCCGAGCTCCCCAATACGTGTGTAACAAGTTATCATCAAAGTCCACGAGTAGAGGTCCCTTTTATACATTTTATCAAACAGTTTAGCGGCTTCATCAACCATGTCATTGTGCAAGTACCCAGCGATCATGGAGTTCCATGAAACCAAGTTTCTCTGAGGCATTACATCAAACAACTTCCGTGCATGCTCTATCCTTCCATTTTTGGCATAGGCAGAGATCATCGAATTGTACGATACAGTGTTCTTCTCAGTCATCTGCGAGAAAACTGCAACAGCTTCTTCAATGCGACCCGATTTTCCCAACTGGGAAATCTTCAAATTGTGGTTGAAGACATGGCTTCCCTTCTCCCCAATAGACCTGAGGCTGGATTTCATCTCTCGAACTCGCTAGAAATGGAAATGCTTTTTGTGGATTCTTTGGGACAAGCCAATTCATGCTCAAATCATTCAGGAGGAGCAGTGGTTGTTGGCAAAACAGAATAATTTGGCGACGTAATGGAGGGAAAATACAACATCGTGCCAAATGAAAGTAAGAAACAAAGAAGAAGAGGGAAATAACAGAAACAGGTCGAGTTTAGAAAGACGATGGGTCGATGTGGGTTTTATGGGTTTTGTGTAATTTTATTTTATTTGTTGAAGATTTTGTTTATGCTTTTGTGTAAATTTTTTATTAATGATTAAAATACTTTTTGTGATGTGATGAGGCGTCAAATTTCAGTTTAAGAAAGGATTTGAATTTTTTTTTTATCTTGGTATGGAAGTGAATATTTGAATGGAATATAATTAAATTTATTTGACTATTCACTAAAAAAGAAAATAAAACAAAAATTTACTGATTTAGATATATGTTCGCGAACCTCTCCGGAGGCGAGTCTCAATTCGAGATCGAGAGAGATCTCTTCTTCTGATTCTTAAGAAGAAAACGTTTTCGAACATTTTATCTTGTTTAGGGAGAGGACCCTCGACCGGGAGTTTCACCCAAGGAAGCAAAGGTCAAATTTTTTATATAGAAACACGACTTGTGCTTTTAAAAATACCAAAAGTATATTTTTATCCTATTTTATATTAACATTGATTGTTTAATAAAAACTATATCAATTTTTTAGTAAATGTAATTTCATTTTAATTATTTAGTATTTTTTTATATAAATAAGTGGTAAAACAAAATAAATTACAATTTATTATTATTTTGATCCGGTCAGTAAAAAAATAGGATAATATTAACAAACTATTTAGTTAATATATTTAGAACTAGAAATTTTTAAAAAATGAATATTTTAGTAGTTGTAATATGTCCAATTTCAAACAGCTTTATTAGACAAGATCAATAGATTTACTATTTCCAAGCCTAAAATCTCAATCTCTGTTTAGTCATCACACCGTTGAATTTGTGTACAGCATGAAATCATTTATTTGTGTACATAAAATTGCTTAATAATTCTTAAATCTTAACTCGAGACTAACTTCAAATGAAAGGTTTAATAAATAATAAAATAATAAAAACTTAAAATTGAAGGTCCAATTCGTTTTAAAAAGAATTCTTGGTTTGAATCGAACTAGTATGAGAGATGATAGATTTATATGTATATATAACATATATCCTCTGACTTTAAAACCTAACCATTTCAGTCTTAGAACATTCAAAATAAAAATATTGTTCCATATCCATTTTAATTTGAATTAAAAATAATAAATATTTAGAAATTTCATACAACAAAATGACCTAATAAAAATTTGGAAGGATATATTTCCTTACACAAATCTTAAAACATGAAGCAATCCTACCTTGAAACATATTAAATAGAAATTTATTTATACAAACTAATTATTTAAACTAATAAAATAATAATAACCCATTTATATAAAAGGAACAAGACAACCAATTTATAAATACTTCCCACAATTTAAGAACTCTGCCTACAAATACCATGACTCGGATGTTGGAATATCACTAAAATTATAAATTAAAAGAATGTATATATCTCTCAACTTTTTAAAAGCAAACTCTCCCACAGAAAAGAAATGAAAAATAAGAAATAAAGTAGAAAATTGCACTGTGGGAGAGTGAACTAATGTGACGGATCCTTTGTTGCTGATTTTTTCCTCATAGTCCAGAATGCAGCATAATACCGGTTCTGCAGAAATCATAAACTTCCATGTTTCAATGCAACCAAATGGAGGAAAAACTAGAATAACAAAAAGTCAGACATGAGAACGGGTTGTAATTATATCGCATATCATCAGCTTGAAAAAATAATCGAAACTGTCAATCTCGACGTAGTTTAATGGTGCACTCATTCCTCCTAATATTAAAGGTTCAAGCTACAAAACGAGATGAGAACAGATTCTAATAGTCTTTTTAGGTATTTCAAGATCGCATATCATCGGCTTGAGTTTTTTTTTTTCTCTATATCCGTGTGTCCGGGCCAGTTTGCGTGCACCTCAACTAATTACTATCTAACCGCCTGACCCTACTACATTTGGTTGACAAGGTAACTCGTAGGATATTAATCACCTTGTGCGCACCTCAACTAATCATGGGCTAACCGCCTGACCCTACTACATTTGGTTGACAAGGTAACTCGTAGGATATTAAATCCTAGATAGGTGGCCACCATGGTTTGAACTCATTCCCTCTAGTCATCGGCTTGAGTGTTCAGCAATCAAAACTATCAATCTCAGCGTTTTTTAATGGTCCACTCATACCTTCCCTAATATTAAAGGTTTAAGCTACATAAACAAGATAACAATGGATTACAGTCTTTTTAAGTATTCCAATATCGCATATCATCGGCTTGAGTATTCAAGAGCATAGTTTAATGGTTAAGGTACCAATACCTTCCCTAATATTAAAGATTCAACCCCACCCCATGAACTCAGAAAGTGAAAAGAAAACAATCAAAATTACATGAATGCATTGTGTTAATAATTTTTTTTTTTATCTGTGAGTGTCAGAAGAAAGCTTACTTGCATCATTGATCTAGGATTTGTTGTGTACGTTGTCTCTACTGTCCTTTCCTTCTGCAAGATGAATGAGTCATTTTTTCAAGTCCATGTTAACAAAAAATATGAGAAAGAAAAATGACTATCCTCTACACTTACCTCAAACACGAAGCCGTAATGCAATATAATTCTTTTAACATCCTCCAGACTTGGTTCAATGGACATGTCCTGAGGGAAAAAAAAAAAAGTAATCGAACTGTTCAGTCTCAAAGAAAGTTATGGGGCAATTAGTTAAGGGATGACAGAGCAGCGTACATCTTCTTGACCGTACATATCCGCAAAATGGTATAGTAGAGGACCTAGATTTATCCACACCTGTCACTATGACTTGTTAAAACGTGTTCGGGACTAATTCGTAGTTAAAACGTTGACGAGAGAGAGAGAGTGCTCTTACTCCTCCATCTTTCAAGATTCTTGATATGACCTCAATATATTCAATAATATTATGAGCAGTATCAATGAAAAAACAAGTTACAACTGCATCCCAAAGTCCTGTACGCAAACCAAACAACATGAGAAATCATAATACATAGTTTTGTCAATGTCCCTATTAAAGCTAAAGATTCAATCATTTGACAACTATCAATGTTGCAGTAGGGATTAGAAATCATAGTGTAATTTTTTACTGGCATCTTTAATACCATCAATAAAGTATTAAATACATAACTTGTTAGGAGCCAACTCATACAATTTGCTTACCTACTTGGCTTGGATCGCTGTATACTTCAACAAAATCACCACCGCACATTGAGAAACCTTCAGTAATCCCTGCACTGCTTGGGAAAGTTCTAATGTAAGGGGATAGTGAAACTGAAGATGCCTATCTGGCATACAATCAAGATGAGTTAATTCTAAGTTTGAATCTTACGTAGGTCCCCAACTTTCATTCTTACTCTTTTCCTAAACTTTCAAATGATTTGTTTCAACGCTCCAACTTAGAACTTTTCTATTTTAATTCCCTGCATAAAAAACTAGTCTTTGGTGTTAAACCGTTAATTTGTCAGCATTTTTTTTAATAGAACAAATTGAGGATATGGGGTCTGAACCTCCGACCTCAAGGGAGTGGGAGGAGTAGATGTCAATTACTGGTGAGTTGTGTTCATATTGACAATTTTTCAGCATTTAATTTACATGAATTTGGTTCTGCTTTGAGACCGAACTCCTAAGCCTACATGTGGCTTCAACTATTTGTCCATGTTAACACCTACCCATAAAAAACAAATGAACAAAACACGTACCTTAGGCCTTAGGGTTAGGCTGACTAATTTACAGAAAGGTCTAAAATAGTTTTCAAGCTTCTGGAAGAGATCACTAACTTCAGGGCTTTGTGGCTCTTAAAAACAAAGGAATTTGTCACTATCCTTTTAAGTTTTATCATGTTATATATATACTTAGAATTAACTATTCTTATATATATATATATATAGTTTTTATGCACAGTGTACGAACTAAAAAAATAATTATATACTTTCTAAGGAGACTAGGCAAATAAAGAAATTAAAGAAAATCTGAAACCGAATAAACATTTTTTCTCAATGGTTCTATATCTTATAAATTTTTTCAAAAAATTTAATAATACTATAAAATTTATGCTAAAGAAACAAAGTTGACATTTTTATCCCAAAAAAGTGAAATTTTATTCTCAAAATTTATTCTTTCTCCCGTTTCTTTTACCATCCATCATTTTCACACACACACCAGCTCAAGGTTAAGTGTCCAACAAGTGTTAGATGCCAGAGAGTATAACATGCTACGGACACTAAAGTGCTGGTGCTTCTTAGCGGAGGCTGGTGAATGAAGCCTATAGCCATCACACTATATTATAGATAAGTTATCACAAATATTAGGACATTCTTTATGTTTATAAACTTTTTTTCACAAATAATACCTCCCACTCCACAGAAATCTGATAACTTTATATATATATTTTTTAACAAGATACGAACTTTTCATTGATATATATATATATATATATATATATACTAATTATCCACAACAAAGGAAAAAATGACGCTGTTGAGTAACAATCAGAAGTGATTCAGCAATAACATACTGAACCAAATAAAAGGACCAAAAAGGAGGACAATGTCAGACAGTACCTACCTTGCGGGATGAATATCTGGCACTGAAACAGGACGAAGTTGATCACTATCTGAAAGTGAGTTGCTATTGCCGTGGATCCAGGGATATATTGTCCACTCACCAACCTTTTGAGTGCTAAAATTCAAGAATGCCATTTATAAATAAATATGTGAAAGTGAATAACCATGATTCAGCAATAACATATTGTATGTACCGAGAATAAGGAGGTTTCACATAAAAGCTTTCTTACTGATTAAGAATAAAACTCGAGCATATCATCATGTAGTATGAAAATTCATTCCCCTGACTTATAAAACCTGTTTCATAGTTTGGAAATATTAAACTTTTCTGTACAATTAGATACTGAATGACAACATCACATCCATACCTAAACATGAGATCTCTAGGGCCAGTCTTCCAAGTCCAGCTCCAGGGACTAAACAAGCAGGAGGACTGACGAACGAAATGCCCCAGTTCAGATTATTTAATCTTCTGACCATAATTGAAGCAAAAAGAGCATTCAACATACCTCTCTTTTTCCCGATTTGGAAACAGGTAATTTAGTTCTTCAAGGATGGGCTTGTAGCACTGGTCACGCTCTTTTTGACCCTACATTAGATTAGAAAAGATAATGGATCAATATTGGTTTAGACAATGAAGAATGGATCAATATTGGTTTAGACAATGAAGTCTCTAAAAGATAATAAAAAAATACCTCAGCAGCCCAATCCCTGACTACATTCCTTATTATACAACGGACCTGAGCAAGGGGGGAAATGACTGATCAATTCCAAAATTGACGATGGAAATAAGTTCCAAGTCTTCCGTATTTGCTTAGAATGTTAAAAAATAAATGAGAGCTTTATGGAATTAGCTCCTATACACGAAGTACAAGCATAACCCATCCTTTTTCTTTATTGTTATTATTACTATTAGGAGTACAAACATACCTTATCAACATCAACCAATGGAACATTTAACTGTAGAGATGAGTCCAACCACTCATGAGATGCTGAGCACCCCTGCATGTGTTACATCAAACTATAAGTTTAATAACGCATCACAAGGTCATCTTCTATGTCAGAATGCATCGAGACTAAATGAAACCACTAAAAAATGGCAAAAAAATTTGGAGCTTACAGTAGAAGAGAATTTTAAAAATTGAAAAAAAAAAGGGACCTAACAGTTTTAAGGATTTCGTCATCTCACTGTAAATTACTGAATACATTATGAGAGAGAAACTAATCTGATTTTTATGATATAGCTAATGAGAGAAGATTTAATCAAGTCCAACAATTAATATAAAGTTGTAGAATTACGTAAGGATTAAAAGAAGTTACATTTCCATTGCAATCAGAATCACAGTGTCCACTATGTATATGTTTATCTGTCACTTCGTTCTCTTCCAGATGTTGATCATGGTTCGTATCAGCAGGATCATGGTTAACGCCATTTCCCATTTCCTGTCATATAAAGATGTCAATTTTTCTCATTTTTCAACAAGACTAAAATGGAACAATTTAGCAATAAATCTCACTGCATGGTTATCTATGCATGACCCAACACAAGAGATAAATAAACAAAAATAAAATATAAACTGATCGTGCAATTAAATTGAACATTATCATACAACCACACCGGGTGCATAAATATTCAAAAGAGCTATTTTTCACATTATTGCTGAACCTCGTTGATAGTTGATGTCTTAGGCGAATTGGTTGCACCACCTTCAGGACAGCAGATTTGTTTGGATTCCAAAGAGCACATCCTTCCACTTGTTGAGGTTGCCTCACCACAACAAACAGTGCTTTCCCGAGAAAATAAATTATCATTGACGTTCCTCTCTTCTTCACAATGATCATTGTGGCCATGATCATGATATGGATCATCACAACAGTCAGCATCTTGGCTCATGTCGAGCGGTGGTTCAAATGCCTGACATAAATTAAAACATAGGGGAAAAAGTAATGTAGACTGCGTTACTTTAACCAATTGGAGATCTAGCACACGACTCAACCCTTAGCATATATGTAAGAATGCCGTTAAATTAAATAGGACCAACAAATTAAATGAACGTGCAATGGAAAAGAAAGAGGGAGGGATGGTGAGAGAAAATAAAACACAAGAAAATAGGTTATCATCAAGGTTTGGGAAGTAATTGGTGTTGAGGTGTTCCCTTCAATTCACCTTTCCTTTATCTTTATTGTTTATGCTAGATCATTCAATATCATCACACATTAACTTTTTATTTGTATTCAACCCAAGGGTATATTAGTATGGTAAATTAAGTGAAGATATGATCTCAGTTATCATTTATTATTTCAGTGCTCTTTCAGTTCTGTTTCATGGAAGAAGTTGTTTTCAACTTTTGAAATTTATACATGTTGAAATTTAGTAATATTTGATTGTCTTTTTAATTTTTAATTAGGAGTTCTTGTTCTTCCTTCTACTGTAAAGATTATTCATCGATTAAATTTTAATGCTTAGAGAGGGAGAAAGTGCAAACCTCAAGCATGTTGAAAATGAAATATGAATTCATGGAAACACACCTGCAGAGTTAATTTGTCAATTGTTACATTCTGCAAAATTCTCATAATATCATATTCAGAAAGGATGAGAGCTTATACATAAATAATGGATCATATTCCTTTAACAGGGAAAGAATATACCACTCATGTTCAAAAATTTACCAAGTTATAACTCATGAAACTATTGTGATGAAGGGCTCGGCCTGTTTAGAATATTGTTTATGAGCATCCTATACGAAAAAATATTTTGAAGGAGATCTGCTATAAACTAGTTTTAGTATTAAATAAAGGCTAAACTATCAGTTTCGTAGACATTTCTGCTCATCTTATTGAGAGGAAAACAGAACGAGTTCTGAAAACCTGCAGATGGAGAGGTCAGGGAACAGAATATATTCCAAATTGTGTTTTTGGTATGGAAGTCTGTTTCCCCTTACACACATGCATATGGAATACTATACACACACCTACAGAGTGTACTTTTTCATTAAATCCCACAACATCATCACAAAAACAAAAGAAACAAAACAAAACAATATATATCATAAAAGAAAACCCCTTTGGCCAAAAAATTTCTTTTTTCCGACTATCTGTTACTATTTCTCCCAACAACAACAAATATGTTTTAGTAGCCAGAATATTCATAAGTAAAGTTGAGGCGAAACCAAACACTAACTAGAGAGATTACAGAGGGAAAAAAAAACCGCTCCAATTAGCAAAAATAGTGATAAAGAAGAGGAGGGTAATTTTACTAATGAATTTAAAAATTTGTAGTCCAAGATTCATGGTATTTTTATTATCTTTTTCACTCCTTCCAAAGTTTGTATCTTTGAGAAATTTTTGTTCCCTTACATTAATCAACGAAAAGTTTGTATCTTGTAGAGACTAAGGTTGGAGAGAATCCAATGTTCTATTCTCATTATTAAAGTCTATATATATAGACAAATATACAAGGTTGACCTAATCCTATAA